AAAAGGAAACTCTTTTCTCTTTAGTGTGTGGTACTCAGAGTGTTTTTCTTCAAATGCTGACAAAAGACGCGCTTATTTCAAAACAAGACTTTGCTTTATATAGACACATAAAATAACTTCTAGGAGGCTTCAGGATGCGCCACGTGTCAGTCCATGACTTTTGTAAGTGCTCCCACGTTCCTCTTTTCAAAGTGATTTCCCGCCAGGCACAAGACTCTCCCGTCTAGGGTACCCCTGTTGGTTTTCTTTTAGGTCGACCGACGCAGGAACCAGTCGACCATGCCACTTTGCAGTGTTGATTCAGTGCGTGTTTTTTCCAGGTTTTGTTACTGTCGATCCTTGGCTTCCACCCAAGGATTTTGTCGGTCTGACGCCTACTTCCTCTAGCTCCTGTCGAGGTCGATACTTCCAGTTGGCTAATTTTCAGCCAACACCAGTAAAATTGCAATACCAGTTAAGCACGTCGTTATGTTGATTATAAATGAAGTTCACATGCTAGATTAATCGAATACATATGAAATAAGTTGATGAAATCTAGTCTTGATATGAGCTTTTAACGTTAATCTTTCGAATCTTTTACCATTGTCACATAATTTTACAAACGTAATTTAGTGAATGTTACTTCTACCAATTAAAAACCATTTGAAACCCTTACTTAAGACAACGTTAAACTATAGAATGATGGTAATATCTCACTAATCCCTGTAGAGACGATAAAATACTTACTCACCAAAAACACTTTCAACATTTCTCCATACATTAAGATGCATCTAACAATGGATTTTCTGTCATCTTTATCTCCACACCAAATTGAGTCGATATAGTCGAGCGATTTGTAACTTCTACCTCTATTCGTTATGGGTAATGAAATTCCAAGTATGATGCCTTTGGCTTCCCTAAAAATCTGCTCATTATGCCTAAACTATATGCCATGTTTGGTCTCGTATTGTACAAGTACCGCATTGATCAAATCATCTTCTTATCTATGTTGAATTAATATTCTGCTCGTCTTCATTATTTGATAGCTGGAATCTTGGCTCTATAGGGTTAATATAACCTTCATTGTTGCCTGTAATAAGTAAATCATAGATATAAAGGCATAAGATGATCACTCATTTTCTTGTATTATTCTTAACATACACGTCATATTCGGATACACATTTATCATACTCTGTGTCTTTTAAAAACCCATCATTTATCTTGTTCTAAACTCTTTGTGCTTACTTTAGCCCATATAACTCCTTCCTCAATCTATAGAACTTGGATTCCTAAATTTTCACACTGAAACCAAGTGGTTATGCCACATACACTTCCTATTATAAAGGGCCATTCAAAAATGTAGATTTGGTATCCATTTGGAAGATGGGCCAATTGTTGTTATTTGCAATACTAACAACTAGTCTAATGGTTCCAATCCTAGCCATTTGCAAAAATTCTTTTTCCATTAATTGATCCATATGCTTGATTATTTCACTTTTGAGATTTTCCTTCATTTTGTATACCAATCTTACACCAATTAGCTTCTTTTCTTGAGGTGGATCAAATAGCTCCCATGTCTTATTTTTTTAATCGATTCTAGCTCCCCCTTCATTGCACATAACCACTTTGGATCACTCAAGGCCTTCTCCATTTTCATAGGTTCAGATTTATACATGAATGTAAAATGAACAAGATCATCATTATTATTCACTTCATTATTCGAGAACAACTCATAATCTTGTAATCTCTCAGGCATGCCTCTTTGCCTTGTTGATCTTCTCACATTTTCTTCAACTTGGACTTCACCGACTGCAGTTTCTGTCCTTCCAATCCATTAATTCATCAAAAATCACATCCATACTTATTACAATTCTCTTGTTAACTACGTCATATAGTTTGTACCCATTCGTAGAGTATAACAAGTATCATTTGCCCTGCCTTGTCATTTAGATTCTTTCTAAGCTGATCTGGAGTATATTTATACACAACTAAACCAAATACCTTCAAGTAACTCATATTTGGATTGAACTTGGACCATGAATCTTCGGGTGTAATATTTTCCAGCTTCTTTGTTTGACATTTATTCAACAAATATGCATATGTAGACACCACTTCTCCCCATAATTCTTTTGGAAAGTTCTTCCTTTTCAACATGTTTCTCATCATGTTCATAATTTATCGATTCTTCATCTCGGCGACTCCATTGTATTGAGGCATATAGGGTGGCACTACCTCATGTATAATGCCTCCTTGATTACAAAATTTTCCACAATCATTTGAGACATATTCACCTCCACCGTATATTTTTAGAGTTTTAATTTTGTGATCACTTTGTCTTTCCATCGTGGATTTGAACTTCTTGAATACTTCAGCACCTCATTTTTTCTTTTGATCAAGTAAGTCCACAATTTTCTACTAAAATCATCAATGAAAGTGACAAAGTACATATTGTCTCCGATTTGGTCAACTTGCATCAGTCCACAAACATCTAAATACACCACCTCAAGATGACATTTGATTTTGTATCCTGTATCTTTGCTAAATCTGCCTCGGTGTTGCTTAGCCTGCACACACTCTTCACATACTTCAGTTGGCATATTGATTAATGGCAGCCTCATAACCATGTTGTTTTTCTGCATATCATTGAGATCTTTAAAGTTCAAGTGCCCGAGCCTACAGTTTCATATCCATTATTCCCTACTAGCAGCCATTGCAAGTCATTATGCTTCATTACTTTCAATTTAACTTTGAAGGTTCTGTTTTGAGTTATAGGGGCCTTTAAGATCAAACTACCATTTGCATCCATAACATTAAGCACTTCATTTTCCATGTGAATCTTGTAATTCCATTCAAGAAGATGACAAATTCTTAAAATATCACACTTAATTCCAAGAATATATAACATATCTTTAATCAAAGAATGCTCACCATTCTTCTTTTTATTGATACATTATCAATCCTTTATGTTTCTAGTGTGTTATCGTCTATGAATTTCACTTTGTTTTATCAATGTTTGATTGATTTTTACAAACCAATCCTTCCTTCTCGTCATGTGAGTTGAACACACACAGACAAAATACCATTGATCGTTGCATTTTTCATCTTCTCGTGTAGTCACCATCACAATTTCAATTGGTGGTAACCAATTACGCTCTGCTTGTAACTGGTTAAACTGCCTTTTCATGTGTTGTTTTCGGCTTCAGCAATCACCATCAATAATGTGCTCTCATCATCCTCTTGTAGTAAACTCGCCAATGATTTCCTTATCTTCCATTTGAATCAATTTCAGTTGCCTCTTGTGAGTTTATAACCTCGCCATCTTTATTTTATCAGCTCATACATAACTTTTCTCCAAGATTTTTCAAGTTTCCTTTGAGGACGTGGAATCACCAACCTTCTCAAAGTTATCAGCATCAACACATTGATGAATGAGATACAAAGCATTGAAATCTCTCGTCTTCTCTTCCTTATGTACAATCTTTTGTGTAGTCGTTGCACATTCTACAAGAGGATTAACATCATTCTTGATCACTTCAAGAACATCTTGAGAATCAAATTGCGCCTTCATCTATTTGAATAACTTGTCATAATTCTTCACATTGAGAATTGAATGATTTGCAGGGATACGTTCATTGGAGATGGAAAGCATGTTCAATGAAAAAACTTGGCTCTTGATGCCAAATGTTGGGTCAAAACCCCAATCACAATGTAAAATGATGAACAAGAGAATAAGAGAGAAAGTGAGAGAATTAAAGAGAATTAGGATGAAAATTGTGGCATTTCATTATCAACCCAACATGGGATATATACTATTCAACAATACACAAATGCACAACTAACCTTCTAAAAGAGGAAAAAGAACACATTTTCCAACTATATTACCGATTACATAAAACCTGTAACCGGTTACAGGAGGAAGCTAATACCTTCAAAGATATCAAAAGTTGTATCAGTTACACCAAAGTTGTACCAGTCACAGATTGCTTCTATTTGATATTTTTGCTATTGGAATGGATGGTAATCGATCACATCCCTACTATAACCGATTACACTATCTTGAATTACATATTTTCACAACAAATTCAACCTCCTCTAGGTTTAATGCATTTGATAACAATGAATCTATAAATCTGGTAATGATGCTTTGATGAAGAAATCTCTAAATAATAAGGTTTTGGAAAACCAGATAATATAATTTTGGAAGAAAAAAAAATCTACCAACAATTTTAATTAATAATCAAGATATTTTATTTTATTTTTGACTTTTAGAATGAAATTTAATGACTCCTGTATTGAATTCCATAACTAATCGTTCTTATAAAATGTACACTGAATTTAGATGGAAAGTATAAACTATGAAGAGGTTTAACAAGATTATTTTTAGGCATGGTTTAATTTTTGTAGGATTTTCAGTGCGATCATTCATTTTATTTGATAGTAATACTTTAAACACGTGATAAAATTGTTCAATTTCAAAAAAAAAAAAAAAAAAAAAAAAAAAAAAAAGAAATTGAAAATTAATACCTTTAAGAGTGAGAGTCATAATCATGTTGAAAATAAAGTTCATAAGATGACATACAAAAGGTGGAAGGGGGTCACATACAATGGAAAGGAAAATCTCAACTAAAAGGTCATAAATCCAAGAAAGTTGATGTGAGATCCATTCGCATAATTGATTCTGAATGTGTAAAATTAATTTTGAAATATTTAGTTGTTTCCAAGTGATTGTGATTTTGTTGCTTTTAGTTGCATCAACCATACACTGTGTCATAAGAATATTAGCACTTTTTCAATTATAAATTATCCATGCAAACCAGCTGAAGTAATAGAACACATGAACCATTCCATTCTTTGAAAAAACACAACAATCGATTCCCAATATCAACAAAACAATAAATACACAAGTCACGCCTGGATTCTCGCTTGAAACTTTATCTAAATTTGGAAGCCTTTTGTGGACTATAACCGTAAGTATCGCTTCCGCCTCTACGCGACCGAGTTTTTCTACCTACAAAAACAATTTAGACTTCTTTCTTTACATCACTTCTGTTGCATATAAGCACAGAGTCGACACACAAACCACCTTTCGTATGAGTGCAATCTATTTGAGTCAATGAAAACTTGATATTCATCAATTCATTTGAGCTCTTAGAAACAAAGTTTCCTGCATGGTAGAGGGTCCAGTGCCCTGGACTATCCAAATGAGTATGGGATACAGCATGTTGACCGTCAGAAGTTGTTAGCTGAAACTTGACGGGCTTCATGTCCCATCCATGGATGTGCTCGGTCTTACAAACTCGACGACCGAGCTTCTTGGATGACCTGCCAAGGTGAAGTCTGAAGTACACACTATATGTTCCTTCGGGGAATTGAAAATCAATTTCTCCTTCGACTTCAAGCCACCAAATTTGATGAAGATAAGCAACTGTATGGAACCTATTCGCACACAAACAAGAGTATATCAAGTTCCACCATATTTGCGTGCTTCAACTTTTTTAAGAGAAAAATAAGAATCGGCTTCAAAAGTTCTTAATTTCATTTTTGTTCTAGCAAAAGTCAAGACAGAGCAAGTTCTACCATATTAGCACAAGCAACATAGTTTCACTTACAATAATCTCACCTTGACTCTTCGGTTGAAATGTGATTCCAATATCTGCGATCATCTATCCCCGTAATCCTTAACGCTTTGGAAGAAATTGCCAAACAAACTCCACCAGTTCTCTTATCCAGCCAAATTTCCTAAACAAAAGTAACATTTTTGACAAGTTAACATCAATCACTTGAAAATCATGTCATGATTTGATAGAATGAAGATCCTCTACATATCTTTCCATTACTACGTTTTAATGAGTATAAATCACATGTTTCTTAAATAGTGATATTAAAGGACACCTCTTATCCAGAGCGGGTCTCAATTTTTTCAAAGACCTATGTAAACTAGTCATAATTTAATCATGAAAAAACAAATAGAGACCTTATCTAATCATTGTTTCACCATTCTAAACATTTTATGAGGCCCTATCTAGACACATATTAACTATGTCAAATTTGAGATCCTGTATGGTATCCCGCCTTGCACGCCCTCAAAGAGGGCCCTGCTCAGAGCCATTGAATCTACAACATACGCACTGTGTACAGCCGCAATGGCTGCACTATGCGACAAAGGTATGGATCCATTTCTTAATGAAGATGTTCTCTACCCGAATTAATAGGCCGATATAACTTACCTTGGTTCCATTGTCAAACAAGTTATGCTTGCAAAGTCTAGCATAAATATCCCTCTTCCCCAATTCAGCAACAGAACTAGTATCATCTTCCTCCTCCAAAGCTTTTCCCATGATGAACTTATAATTCAAAGGCAACTTCGATTCCCAAACAAAATCAGCAAAAGAAGCATCGCGAAACGCCCTATTCAATCGTGCTAGCTTACATATATCTGGTGGATCCAAATACATCAACACCAATGCCACACAACTCTCAGGTATATCCCCAAGCCTTGGCCTCATAGAACTAGAACCCCCATCATCACATACACATGAGGAAAAATTAGCACCCATATTTAACACAGACCAAACCCTTTATCCTCACAATGTAAAGTTCTTAGATTTCACAAACCCAGAATATGAATTCAAGTAAAAACTTGATCTTGAACCTCAATTTGTCAAATTCATCACATACCAAACCAAACTACTTCATACCCACAGTTTAAAACTCTAAAATTTCACAAACCCAGCATATGGATTCAACTAAAAACTATAACTTGAACCTGAATTCATCAAATTCGTCACACACTAAATCAATTGTATACTATACCTCCCAATGTTGAACGCAAACCTAAAAACTTAATTGTGAGGAAGGGAAATTGGAGATGGAAACGAAACGTATGGATTTGACAGGAATTCCTATGAACGACACGCGTGTGCGCGCCGTTTTCCAGTTGAACTGAGTTCTTCAAGATCTATGCTTAAAAGAAGAAGATCAGATAATGTTCGCGACTTGGGAAAGAGATAAAGAAGAAAAAAGTGACGTGTATGTCCAAGATCATCATTTAAGAATTTTGAATTTTGAATTTTTCTTTAAAAAAAAATACTAAGTTAAATAGTTGTCTGAATAATTATACATTTTTTAAATGCAAAAATTACATCTACATCTCAAAGTGACGAAGTCGTCCTGGTCAAAAATACTTTGTGTTATATTTGTGAGAGACTAAAATAGGGGTGATTTTGGAATCCCCGCCGAGAGTGACGTCTCTATCTAGAATAATCTTTGTCTTTATAATTTTCTCTTTGTTATTGTAACTATTTTGATCTCTTTCTTCTCTAGTACGACTTAATTAATAAATATTGTTGAAATTTACGTGACTCTTGAGAGCTTCTTCTTTTACTACTTTCTCAATCTCTTTTAATATTTTGTTGACATGAATTTCAATGTTTTTCTGTAATTCTGCTACAGACAAAGTGTATGTGTCTTGGGACTCAATTATTGTAGTCACCACATGGTCAAACATCGTCAGTATCGAATGTAGAATCTTTTCTACCACTTTGTTATCCGAAATATTTTTTTTTTCATATACTCTTATCTTGTTGACAAGATTTATAACACGAGTAAAATATTGTTCTACCTTTTCTAAATTAGACATTTCTTATCTTTCATTTTCTCTACGCAGCGATTGTAATTTGGACTTATGAGCCTTTTCTAACTCCTTAATGTGACAACCTCATTATGTCTCACACTTCTTTACTAGTCTTGGCATTTTCTATTTTTATCAAATATTGAGTAATCAATTCCTTGATGAAGTTGTGAAAGTGCCGACTAATCATTTTTACGAGCGACTTCATCCGCTCTTTGTTGTAAACTGGGGTCCACAAAGCTCCTGAGCTTTTTAGATGTGTTGTCATCAAAAAATTTCAGTAACTAAAATCTAATTTTTCATTTAATTTTAGACCGGACCAAAAAAAATTGAAATTGCTTTTCATATGTCTCTCACAAAAAAATACTCACAATAACTTTTTACACAATAAAAACTCTTTTTTTTCATACACTTGAAAATATTTTTGACACTTACACTAGTAAGACCAAGCAGACTCTAATACCAATTTATTATCAAATAAGAAACTAAACTTCATAACATTGAGGAAACAATTTTCTTATCACTCTGGCATTCATATATTTTTGATTTGATAATATTATTATTATTATTATTATTATTATTATTATTATTATTATTATTATTTTATTTTCTATTTTTATTTATTTTTTGGTCTTCTCTTCAGATGTAGCTTGCACATTATAAGGGCTTGTAATATGGTTGCATCTCTTTTTATGTTTTTCGTTTTTGAATCACGTGTAGTGTTATATACATATCCATTATTTGTTCTTAATAACAATAAGACATTCTCTCATAAAATCAGTATGATAGTTATTAGTTTTAACAATTGGTATCATAACAGCATTATTGGCGCCTAATCTATAGTGAGTGAGTGTGAGAGAAACAGTTAGAGTGAGAAAAATAAGTGTGTATCAAGAAACAATGCAATTTTCTTTCAAGTAAAAGGAGTTTATAAGAATGGTGGAAAGTGATAGTAGTAGTTTTGTACAGTCTGCTACTGCCAAGTTTGATGGATGATCTTAACGGATGATTAGAACCTAAACTGGGCCAGAGAATTTTTTAGTATTGCTGGGTTGCAAGGATGAGAAGGGGGTGTACCTGCAAGACACGCTAATGCTAAAGCAAGTCTCGTGAGAAGAGAATGCAAGTACAAAGAGTGTATGTCTTAGGGTGATTTTGAATGATTTCAAGTACCTGACCCTCTCAAGTGAGAGGGTTTTTATAATGTCCCCAACGCTTGGTCATTGGTCCCAATTTTTGGAGCGAGATATTTGTAACACCCCACTCTAAACTATCGCGGAAAAATAAGATAAACAACATAAACAATTCAGAGTACAACAAATAAAGTTTCATGACGACCGTCATGGATGTCACGACCGTCACGGTCATGACGAGCATCAGGGAGTAGTGACGACCGTCACACTCCCAAATTCTGGGACGCATCAGAGGTGTCACATATTCAACTTAGCAGACAACATGCATCTTCAACACAATCATTTATTCACATACATAGCACAGGTTCGGATGAACAGACAACAATAATTTGTTTAACACTTTAATCATAAAACGACATGTTATAATATACTTCCAACCATTCACCATAACCAAACTCCATAAAATTCAGCAAGAAATCATCTTGCATAGATTCATTAAAGCAACTAGTTTTCCATCAAAATTCAGCACCACCAGTTCTCCGGCTTAGTGCGTACTGTGAGGGCAAACCACCATACACCACACGAGTTTGTATACACCACTTGATATAGGTTTCGATGATGACGAATTACAACCATGGATGAAATGGCAACTGTAAATTCCACCTCTACCAAACAAATGCAACATATCACCTACCGTATCCTTTTACATTTATCTAAAAACTATTATAGTTAATACAACATGTGTGGTCGTGACAAAATGCATGAAAAACCACAAGAATCTCAGTTTTTGCAGGTTTGCAGGGCATGAGTCGACCATAGGGTCGACGCATACATCAGTGTATTTTTCCACTGGTCAGCGCATGAAAGTTTGAGTCGACCGCAGGGTCGGCGCATGAAGAATTTACTCTTCAGTGGGTCAGCGCACGCCGACTGTATGGTCGACGCATACTGATACATTTTGCAGATTTCTAAAGGTGCAGGCTATGCGTTGACGCACAGACTTGCTGTGGTCGACCGTTCGCGCGGAAATGCTGTTTTTAAATGATTCCCACTATTATTTGAAAAGTTGTTATGTCTTTGGTTGGTCTGGTACTATATATACAAGTCCAACTACTTATGTCACATAACATTTTGATAAAATTGATTCATGTGTTCAAAGAATAAGAATGAGTGAAATAGGTGTCCAAGATTCATCATATTCATCTTCAACATCTCACAACACATCAATTACACACAGCCATTTTTGAAGTGCCTTGTGAGTGATTAAAGGTGATAAGGTTCGAAGCTTAGATTGGATAATCTAGTTCGGGTTGAAGCTTGCGACAGGTTCTTTCTTGAATAAAACCGTTAGGGTTTTATCCTCCAAGATTGGTTTTAATTTTGGGGGTTTTTGGACGAGTTTCTTCATCAAGGGTCAGCTGAGCGAAGGTGATTTTGAAGAGGAAGTCTTCAACAGTCTAGTAGCTGATTTAGTGATATTTAGGGGAAGATCTCAGGTTCGATTCGTTGTAGTTGAGATCAGCCGAGCCGAAGGTTTGAAGAACTGAGGGTTATTCAATCAGGTGGATGGAATCGGAGGTCTATCAACAACGATTGGAGGACTTGATTCGTCTTGAATCAAGGGGCAAGGAGTGGAAGCAACATTCAACGTCTTGAGAATTCAGTTGTATTTTTGTTGTTCAATCCTTGTATAAATTGTTACATTCAACAGGTGATATCTATTAAATCTATCTCAATTCTAGTTTTAGAATTGAGGGCAGACGTACCCCGAAGCGAGGACGACGGGGGAACTGCCTCACCAAATATTTGTCTTCTCTATTTTTCAGCATTTTCGTTGTAGCTTAAAAATAAGTGATTTTCGTATAAGCACTATTGTCAAACTGTGATATCAATTGAGTAAGAGGTTGAAACTTTGTTTTTGAATCCAAGGTACAATAAGACATTGTACTAGGCTAGTTGGAATCACTTACTCAACATAAATATCACTTGGAGTGTTTTTGCACACCAAGTGTTCGACAAATTGCCTAAAACAAAATTATCTTATTTGTGTATCTAGTTTTGGTTTGCTCTTTAAATCATTGGAACTAGGAATCCTAACAAGTGAATTAGATCATTGATAAGTGTGATTAGTGTTGTGATTCTCTTTTCCATATTGTCATTAATCCAAAGGCTTAACGCATATCCGGTTTTCCAATAACCGTTCGTTTTAGACTATATTTTCCTCGGCCGCTTCCGCACTTAAAACAATTTTTCAAAACCAATTTGTAATTGGTAGCGCCGACTCAAATTTTAATTGGGATCTATTCAACCCCCCCCCCCCCCCCCCCCCTCTTCTAGATCCGTGCCATAGTCTAACACGTACAACCAGCATTTAGTATTCGATAATAACAACCCATTTTCACGAAGAATACTCAATAAAATTCAGCAACAAGAAAACAACTAAAACAAAACAGTAAACGTTCATCCCCCCAAGAGTGCTACGTATCAGAGCGACCGAAGACACCTTAAACGGAACGCTATACTCTATTCCAGATCTCCTGCAAATTACCACCAACAGAGGTAACATACAACATAAAGGGGTGAGATATCAACAATATAACATAAGGCATGATAAAAGTCATGTCAGAATATTATCACAGCATTATAATTCCAGCAGTTCGCATAAATATTAGTAATAATTAAACTGCAACAAATCATTATTCCTATCCACAACAATTATCATCATAACTAAGCAACTCATCAAAACAACTCAACAACGCAACTCAACAATGCGACTCAACTGTGCATATGCATG